GCTGTATAGGATCCACCCCTATTAGACTTGTTTTCAGTCAAATATGCTCGCAACATACGCACGGAATCTATACCGATCTCCTGACATGTCGCGAGTGAGGGTTCATTGCTATTAGTGGAACTGACATGTGTGAGTGGCTAATAACCAGCGCAAAACCTTAAGAAGTAGCGGCAGATCCGAAACTTTTTTTTAGTTTTTCAAGCATTTCTTGAAAATTGTGATCAAGTAAGCAAATAATGTTTGAAAATCAGAGCATTTTTTAACATTGCAATTTCTTTTTTTTAAATACACACAATTTTGGAAGCCAAGAACATTTTTTATTTGAATTTGACAATAACAACATTTTTCGAAATTGTGAACAAAATGTTGAAGCGCAACCCGTTCGCTGATAATTGTGAACATTTTTTAAGTGCAAAGCATTATTTGAATTTGTGAAACAAAATGAAACTAGAACATTTCTTAAAAATATGAATTGTTAACAAATTTTTAAAAAACGACATTTTTTTGAAATTCCAATTAAAATTTTAAAAACAAGACCCATTAAATAACAATATAATACAAAATATATTTTCCATCAAAATTTATAAAATCTTAGTCATCCATTTGAAACATGTTAGTCATGTAGAAAATGTATGTCGCATTTAAAAAATGTTAAGCGTTTTAAAACAAATGTATGTGCCATGTTAAAACTATTTTGGCAATGTACAAAAAACGTCCATGTAATTGAATAAAATGTATATAAAATTTAATTAAAATTTCATGAGTTCCAGAAATATTTTTCTGGCATTTTCAGAAACATTGTATCAAACGCAATTTTTTTGCATATGCTAAATACTGTTTGTATGATTAAACAAATGCACATGTCAATTTTAAAGAAACATTCCGGTAAGTCAAATAAATGTTCGTTGAATTTAAAAAAATGTAAAAAAAAACATCACTGCAGGTTGAAAAATGTTTATTTACATTAAAATATGTACAATGTATATTTGGAACAAATGTTATTGCGTATTCAGAAAAAGTGCTCAGAAATGTCAATAAAATATGTACATCCTGTATTTCAAAAATATCCAAAGTGTATCATGAGAATGTTTGACGTGTTTTCTAAAAATGTACATTGTTTACTGAGAAAAAAGAAGAGATATATGGAAAAAAAGAAAATAAAGGACCAAAGAAAACAAGGAACCAATAAAAACAGACAAGGAAACAGAAAAGAAAAGCAAAAAACCAAAGCAAACCTAGGAAAACAAGAAAGAAACAAAAGAAAAGCAAAGTATAAATATGAGAGAGAAAACAAAAAAAACCAATGAGAAAAGAAAGAAAACCAATGTAAAATCAAGGAAAAAAGGAAAACCAAAAAGCTCGGTGAAAAAAGAAATGAAACCAAATAAATAACAAAAGAAAATGAAAACGAAAAAAGGAAACATAGTACGAGACCTTGCAACTGGGCTAGTCCAGTAGACGTCGCCTGCAGGCGACTCCTATTATGAATGAGTGGGCGTATATGGGAGCCCGTATGTGCCGCATTCTGCTGCAAAGAGATGGCCTATCGCACAGGGTGCGTCCCAACTGGGCCGGCGAATGCGATCCTAAAAAAATCGCAAAAATAGTAGTTCGCAGCATGCTCATCCTGGGAATCCAACCTTTGAATCCCTTCCCAAATGCACTCGCTGCTAGCCACTACAACTAAAGAGGACTCATGATAAATACGCATCGCGAGGTTTTAAGACTAAATAGCAGAGCAGACTTAAAC